TCCCCCCCCCCCCCCCCCCCCCCCCCCCCCTTTTTTTCACTTTCCACCCATATCTGATCGTGCTTAATAGTCATTGAGGAAAACGGTGTACGCCTGAGATTGAACATTGTTGATACCCCTGGATACGGAGACCAAGTCAATAATGACAGATGGTATGTTGAGCCAGGCCATTGGGTTGGTCCAGAATGGACATTGTCGGGGCTAATTGACTTCATAGCTGGGACCCTATCGTCAAGTACATCAAAGACCAGCACTCCGCCTACTTGCGCAAGGAGCTTACTGCTCAGCGTGAACGATATATTCAAGACACCAGAATCCACTGCTGTCTCTTCTTCATCCAACCATCTGGACATGCGTGCGTTTTGAGACATGACCCCTGAATTTGTGTCCGCCGTTATTTTCTAACTTATATTATAGCCTAAAACCAATTGATATCGTCGTTCTCAAGAAATTGTCTGATGTTGTTAATGTTGTGCCCGTTATCGCCAAGTCTGACTCCCTCACCCTGGAGGAGCGCCTTGCTTTCAAGGAAAGAATCAAGGAGGAATTCACCTTCCACAATCTCAAGATGTATCCTTACGACAACGACGAACTTGACGACGAGGAGCGTGCTGTCAATGCGCAGATCAAGGTACTTCCTTCTCTACCCCTCATATAATTTTTCCAGCCCTTGCGACGTCGCGGCTAAGCATTCTTGCCTAGGATATCATTCCGTTTGCTGTTGTCGGCAGTGAGAAATCTATCATTGTCGATGGAAAGCAGGTCCGCGGTCGTCAGAACCGCTGGGGCGTGATAAACGTTGAAAATGAAAACCACTGCGAATTCGTCTATCTCCGCAACTTCCTCACCCGCACTCACCTTCAGGACCTGATCGAAACCACCAGTCAGATACACTATGAGACTTTCCGCGCTAAGCAGCTTCTTGCTCTGAAGGAGAGCAGTGCAACCGGCCACTCTGGAAGTCGACCAATTAGCCCTGCTGCCGACCGGGAATTGAGCCGCAACTCCCAAAGAGTGACTATGAACGGCAACTAAGGCCTTCTCTCGTATTTTTTTTTTTTTTTTGTTGCTATTACCAAACTCTTTCCCTTCTTGAGGGTTTCAAGTTAACGTGGAACATGATACCCAACCCACTTAATCTTCCATGCGCCATAGTTAACGGGCTCGAGAAGTCCCTGCGACGTCAACGTTAATGGCCGTTACCTTTTTTTCTCTTTTACTTATTCTTTTGATTTCTGTTATTCCGTATTTCTCATTTTGAAATTACTTTTAATATCCTTACGTGCGTCCCATTAGGCAGTCGAAAGTGTTTAAGAGCACTGTAGCCAATCTCATATCCGTTTTAGAACAAACACCATCCTCTAGGTTTGTGTCTATCCGTAGTGTCTGTGTCGGCCCCGTTTTCTAAATGAGGCTACTACTGCTAGCTCCAAGATTGTATGCCAAAAGAGGAGGTTATCCCATGATCATTGCGAACCAAACTTCCCACCATCTACCACCCAATCTCTAAGCTCGACATATGCCGCCTCAAGCTCATCGTTAACAACAATCTTGTCATGCGCACCAGGCTGCCTCGAGTATTCTAACTCAACTCGGGCCTGGGCCAGTCGCTTTTGCAGGCTGTCCTCTGACTCAGTACCGCGACCACGCAGGCGTCTTTCCAACTCTTCGATAGACGGAGGAGCAAGGAAAAGGAACCTGGCATTAAGATCGGTCCGTTTCACTTGTTTCACACCCTATACAGAGACGGATTTCACACAAACGGTCAGAACCAAAATAACACGACATGCGGCTAGCTTTTCCTTTTTACTTGATCCATTGCTTACCTCCATCTCAATGTCTAGGACGCATATTCTTCCTTGGTCCGCAACACGTTTTACGGCCGCAATGCTGGTTCCGTAGTGGTTTCCGCCGAACTGGGCATGCTCAATGAATCCTCCCTCATCAACGAGCTTCAGGAAAGCTTCCTTGGTGGTGAAGTTGTATTCCCTGCCATCTTCCTCGCCTGGTCTGGGGCCTCGAGTGGTGTCTGTATTTCCCCGGGAACGCGCAACGCATCAGCCAAAAAAGCCAGTCACAACCACACAACTCTTCTGGTTGCTTTCCTTTGTGGCGGTGAGCACTCACGAGATACGGAGAAGCCGAACTTGTCTGGGTATTCGGCGAATAGGCGTTTGAGCAAGGTCGACTTGCCTGTGCCTGAAGGCCCAGATATCACGACGGGCCGGGGGCCTTGAGATGCTGCCGCAGGGAGCCATTAGCACCGTATCGCCAAAGGAGATTGCGCCGTACACATCATGGACGGGGGCGCAAATCTTGCGTTTACCTGTGGAAGCCATGCGGGCAAGACTGTGGCTGTATGCGAATGGGTGAAATAAAGAGCTGGAGGAGGGCCTGTACCTGACTAACGGTGTATCACAGTTCAACAGTGCTCCGCCGCCCCTCCTCATATAAAATGTCATCCTCTCTCGTCTTGGCGCGCAAAGCTGCATGAGTGGGAAAGTTCCATTTAAAAACGTTGTAGCTAGTTAGAGTTATCCAATGACTAAGCACGCCGCCGCTGCTTGATACACGTAGTGGTTTTCATATCTGGAGAGACGAAGGAAAAAGGGGCTGAAAGGAATATGGAGAAGCATGGGGGAAATAGACCGGGAGAGATGGACAAAACGGGATTCTAATACACAAGCAGTTCGGTCATGACGCCGTTTTGTCTGAGGGATTCTCGTCTGGGCCGGTAGCTTTCCCTCTGCCTGGGCTTCCTGCTCAAGGAAATTCGACCATAGCTCAGCCAGAGACTCTTTCCGCGCATCTGCATTGGTACCAAAATATCCTGTTGCTAGGGAGGGTGAGCTTGGGGTTTTGAACATGGACGGAGACCGTGGAGCTCTAAGACTATTGTAACCCCCCGAGGCACCCGGTCGAGCAAGGCCAGCCTGCTCTCGTTGTTCTGTGATAGAACGTCAGCTAAACATTTTTTTTTTTAAAAAAAAAAAAAAAAAAAAAAAAAAAAAAAAAAATTGGCAGGAGTTGGCAGGTAGTCAGTACTTACCATCATTCCATCCTAGGAGAGCAGCAATAAGCTGCAATATCTGGAACTTCTTCGGATCCGATCGATCCAGAGAGAGAAAATGCAAAAAGTGGTTCGTAACAAGATTCCTATCAGTAGTCAGCGTGAGACAACACCACGATGGTAATAGATTGAACATACCTATCCACGTTGTCTTCAGGCTTCCCTTTTTTCAAGAACCGTAAAGCTTTTGTGAGATGCTCGTTCAAAGTAACGGCTTCGTGTCTAAGCTTGCCTATCAGCAGGTTCTTCTCCTTGACCTCCTTCTCAAACGGCAAAGCTCTTTCGAGGCTCTTCTGTGTTTCTTCTCGGGCAGCATCCGCTTCGGCTGCACGCTTCTCTGCATCTTCCAATTTCTTTCGAACTTCCTCTACTTGTGCATTGGTACTTTCTACCAGCTCACGTAATTCTTGCTTTCGAGCTATACATTAAGTAGTCAGTAAATTGATTGCAAATGTTGGTCCAGAAAGGGAAGGGAACATTCATACCAGCTTGAATTTCTCTTAGCGCCTTTTGGAGGCCTTCAACTGCTACTCCCTGGGAGTTATAATCAGACGTCATTTTCTCGTAATCTGCCCTAAGCGTCGACAGCTGTTCATCTAGATCTATAACTTTTTCTCCCAGATTTTCTCGAATGGACCGCTCCTCCATTGCGATTATCTCCCAGCTGTGCATTGCCTGCTTAGCTTCCTCAAATTCCGTTCGCAGTTCCGATTCCTGTGCCAATAGCTCCTCTTTCTCTTTAACCCAATTCTGTTGGGCGAGGTTTATTCTATTTCGCAGACTGGAAAGCTCTTTTGACTGTTGCTCGAGTTCACTTTCTAGGGAGGATATATTCGTAGATCTAGCCTCCAGTTCAGCTCTCAGAGAGGCATTCTCGCTTTCGTATTGTTCAATTTGGGCCCTCTTTTCAGTCAATTCCTCCTATAGCTCTGGTTAGCCTCGCACTGCAAAACCTGTCAGCACAGCATCAAGAGGAACATACAGCATCAGCTTTCAGTCTCTCTCCCAGCTGAGACTTAATTGTATTCACTCTCCCTAACAAGCTGTGGAACTGCGACTCAGCCTGCTCTTTCTGGCTTTCTGAGACCCGGAGCTTCTCCTGCAAGGTTTCCATTTCCTCATCGTGCTTATTCTGTATCTCCTCGAGCGAACGGCGCATCTCGATGACTTCTTCCCGCAGCGAGTCTCGATCGCGCACGAGAACATCAAATCTACCGTCAGTGTCTCGGTCAACCGCTTCATTTTTCATTGGGTTGGTATCCGACGCTGGTTGATTTTCGTTCGAGTGTGATGTTGAGGTTTCGATTGAGAGGTTCTGGAGGCTTTCTGTAACTGACGCCGACGGCTCAGCTTCTTGCAATCCGTTCACTGTTGTGTGGTCCGAGTCCTTATAACGATAATCAAAAAGCTTTAGTATTTCTTGACTTAGACAGGTTGTCATTTTAGGGTAGGAGGTATGTAATACCATGTCCAGTTGTTCGTCATGCTGTCCATCCTTCTTGGAATCTACGGGGGTCGCGCCAGAGTTCCCATCTTTTTCACTCTGCGCTCCGGTCTTCCCGCCTTTCTTCTTGTTCTTCTTCGATTTGCTTTCGGCCACTATACAATGGAGGACGTTAGATCCTGAGAGGGCTAAGGATGCGGAGCGACTGACCTTGGCCGGCGGGCGCTGAATTGACAGGCATTTGTTTAGCTATTATAATGTTTTTAGCAGGAAATAAGAGGCAAGGTTGAAACAGCGTCTAGGAGCAGTGTTAATTGGATGTTTGGAGCGAATCGACCGTTTGGAGGTTGGAGAATACGTTGTTTTGTATATTTTAGTTGGACTAGTTAGTTAAACCAGTCTTGCGTCAGCAACCGGCTACTTGACATGGAACATGGTAACTACCCATCCAGAGCCATAAGTTCAAGCCTATGTATTGAGTTGATAGTTACGCAGACTGCAAGATCGAGTGTATATAAACGCCTCGCCATCGGGTAGACGTGCCTTTTGTCTCACTTGTGAAGACACTGAAAGAAAGCTTTCTGATTCGATTTGGAGAATGTCTCGCCTTTTAGTTAACGAGCGCCAAGGGCGTGTTTTCTTACAAAGTTGTCTTATAATTATTACTTTTGTCATTAGCACAGTATTTCTTTCCACTATTATTCATCAGATGATCTAGATATGTCGAGAAGAGACCGGAGAAGCCCAAGACCTGGAGTTTATCCAAGAGCAATGCATAGGCTCTGTTGTCATCCAAGGAACAGCCCGGGTGAAGCCACTCAGGCGGCCGCGTAGGAGTGCTGTAGCATCCTTCCTGAATTGGGGATATTATCCCCTTGGCGACCGAGGTGATCCTATTAAGATGATAACAGAGCTAGATAACCCAGATGTACGGAGTATCACATAAAGTCATCCAGAAAGTCTTCACCTCGGTCCTGGTTGTTGCTTTGTTGGACGCTCTCTGGGCTCATGAGATCATCGTAGGCGTGTTCCTTCTGCCACCGTAGCTCATCCCTTTCTCTGCGTTCCTTCTTCTCCAGTGCCTTTTTCTCTTCCCTAGCCTTGCGCTCCTCTTTTCTGCACTGTGCCAGGTACTCTTCCTTCTCGGCTCTAAGGTCGGGAAACTTTTCAACCCGGGTCTTGTTCAGTCGATTAACAATGGGGTTCTGTCGTTGCGGCACAAAGACCTTGCGTGTGAGCTTGGGGTTATGGAATGAGACCTGGCCTGTGGCCATGGCCGCAGTCTTGTGTAGGTTGGACCATGGCGTGTATATCACAGTCACATTGTCCTTTTTATTTCCTGCGTCTGTCAATCGATGCTCTCACCAGCTGGACGCTGCAGAGGTAAAGAAGGAAAGGTAGAAAACAAAAATTTAAAGAGAGGATCAGCGTCTGTTGAACGTGCCTTCGATAGAATTTGCCTTGGTCAGCTGTGCGCAGTCCTCGAGTAGCTCCTGGGGTATATTTTCCCAGCTATCGCCTTTCCGGAGTCGAAGGTAGACGTGGGCACTTGATAGATTGTCGACATGAAACTAGAACGGACCAAAGGCAAAAAAAGAAATGCAAGTCAGCAATCCAGGACTGAATTCTGCGAGCCGAGCAGGAGGAGACCGGGGGAAAAGCATCCAACAAAACACACCCTAGGGAAACGAGGCAAGAAATCGACACCGAGTAAGCCGCAGGAACAGGAGAAATCTGACAGAGGAGGCAGGACACGTAGCTACCAGACGTCATTCTCAAGGCCATGCTTGATCAGATCTTCGTCTAAGATGTTTCAGAGACCAACTGTTAGTTAGTGAGCAAGCAGCCTTCCGGCTTATGGAGAGGGATAGGGAGAGAGTGAGAGAGGGGGGAGGGGAGGGACTCTGGCAGTCTAACTTTCAACCTTGTCTTTGCCAACATAAATGAACGCTGCAGGAGTCACCGTATTTGACGTAAAATAGTACACCATCTTGCTGCAGGACGAGGGCTGGATCACAGCCCGCGGAGACCAGCGTTGTCTGTTTCTTCGTCCGCCTCGTCGTCGTCCTGCTCCTCGGGCGTCTCAAGGTTGGTGTTATTGATCCATGGATCCATCCTTGCGCGCTCAAACTCGCAGACCCGGCTTATCTCGTGATCAACACCCGCCCGCCAAGCCGGGAAAGCATATGTTCTGTGCAAACTGTGCAAACTACAGCACGTGAACTGCTTTGTCATCCAACGTCTAACAAGAACTTCCCTTTACGGGACTCTCGAAGCTTAAAAGCGCCAACTCTGACAACGTCAACACAACATCCGCAGGCGAAGCCACAGAGCCAGTGAGAAGGCGAGAGACAACCAAGAGACGAGAGACGAGAGAGACCCTGGAAAAAAAGAAATTATAGGCCCTGCGAGAAGAAAGCTGATTTACGAAAAGAAAAGAAAGGAGAGAGACGGGCGATAATATTTTTAATAATAACTATCATTCTAAATCTTCTTTTTTTTTTTTTTTTTTTTTTTTTTTTGCAAATTCTTCGTCGTGTCTAACTAATGGCTCCATCTAGAGTCATGGAGTACATAGCAGACTGTGGACTAATAATAATAATAATCTTTTCTTGCTTCAGCCAATGGCGATGGTTCCGTCGTCGTTAAAATGTTGGAGCATTGGGGGTTCAGCAGGCAAAAGGGACCAAATAAGACCCAGCCTACGCCTGTCAATAATAATAGCAACCTGGCACCTCAGCAAATGGGGTCAGTTTGCTGATCTGCTGCCGCTGCTGTTGGCAGTTATTATTGAATCTCTCTGTCTCTCTCTCTCTCTCTCTCCTTTGACACCCACGTCCTTGTCCGTATCTTGTGTGTGGGCCAGGGGATCAGGCTGTGGGTTGCATAACTAACGAGATACAAACACTTGCGGATGTTGAGAAGGATGATCCCAAGGGATCTGATGATTGATGATTAATGAGACAACTACTACCTGTTCAGGCCCTACGGATTATAGGCGGTGTCACAGATATATATGAGGGAACAGAGTAACTCTGTTCGTGAGAACGTATACTCCGGCCGACAGACAGAGGATACAACTTGACTCTGCCCGAGCGGCGGCAGATCAAACTAAGAAGAAGAAGAAGAAAGGAAGAAGAAAGGAGGGCGATAGAAAAAGAAAAGAGGGAGGGAGAAGGGCTCCTGTGCACGAACAGGGGGTCTCGGGTTCGAGCCGTCGTCTGTCTCTATCTCCACGTATAGAACTAACACCAACAACATCCTTAGAGTTAGCTATATCAGACTGCCCCCATACTGTGGTAGCGCTCCACGAGCTGCATGGAGCGTTTGTCGGCCCAGATTGCCGTCCAAGCCCTCCACAGAGAACCCTGCTCCTTTGCCGCATGCATGCCAATGGCTTTTGCTTCCCTCCCTCCATTCCGAGCAATCAATCTGAGTTTTAACGCCGCTCCAAGGGGTTGCTGCGCCGCTAACCCAGCCGGATCCTGACAATACCCGACCATTGGAGTGAGGATCCTGGTCGCTGGCGGTTCCCGACGCACGGCATACTGTGCAATAGGGTCGTCTTCCTTGCTGATCATGCGGGTGTGCCCTTTTTTTTTTTTTTTACCCTCCCTCGTTCCCTTCTTTCTTTCTTTTGCTTTTTTTTTTTTTTTTTTTTTGATATCAACATCCACCTGAATTCTTTTTTATGTTTAAATTTTCTTTTCGTACGGCGCCTTTTACCTTCCAACCTCCGGGCATTCCATCCGCTGTGAATAGGGCTCTCGCCAGTTGGGATGGAAAGCTCTTAAACTCTGCCCCACGCTGGGCCGCTACAATCCAGCTGCAATCCCAATTGAAAATCATGACAATGCACTGCTTATGGAGAGGAGATAGCGGCGTAGCTACAAAGATTTACGTGTTCAATCAATCCGAGTAGTTAGCCGCTACCTACGGTGGTGATGCGGCTTGCTGCATGAGACTGACTCAGCAAAACCGTTGAGCAAGATAATTATCTCAAACAACGAGTGGGAAGGAAAAGGAGAGAAAGTTATGGAGAAGAAAGGAGGCGAGGAGGCTCAAACTGCGGCAGGCTTGACCACGCACGCAGGAGAAATAGAGCGCTTACAGAGTACTCTGAGTAATAGTCCAGCCAAGCAGGGCGGGCCGCAGATTGAAGGGAGGGATGTATACTCCGTACATATATGCAAGCACGATGAACGGGGGGAGATAAAAAATAAAAAGGAACTAGGACTTGGACTAGGGTTAAACTAGGTAAGATCTTGCTAGCTCGTTCCTCCGATGGCAGAGAGCGCGAGGCGGAGGCTAATAATATCTGTCCCCGACTATACAGCCAGTTGGTGTGCACCCTTGCTCAAAATGCTAGCTATGGTTAACTAACGCTGGTTCTAATCTAATGCATGGCAACACCACCTGGGCCACAGTCGTTCACCACCACCCCCTAACTAACTAACCACCTAGACTGCTCGGCAGGCAGAGCACATCTCCAGAATATACTTGGGTACATACATACCTTCCCTGGTATTAATGGCGGCTATGAGGCGTCCAGGCCCAGCTCATGGAGTGACTGGGGGAGCTCGCCAGCATGACGCACGACCTGATGTCAAAAGGCACGGCTTCCTGCTTAAAAAACTTGCTGCATGTCAGCCGTCAGCCTGTGCCGGCGGCTCCCCCCCTCCCGTTCCCCCGCCGTCTAGGGATATCATTGGACTTTGGGCTGACCACATGGTTAATCACTAAAACACAGACAACAAAAGCAGGATGGCTTGCTCAACGTCTTCCTATGGGCCTGTCCTCCCATCCTGGCTACATACTAGGGGGAGCAAACACGAGTCAAGCCTCACGGTCAACTACGGGCCACCGCAAAAGAGCGTTGGTCACATCTCGTTGGTCGCCTCCCCAGGGGTGTTTTGAGGGACCTGCCTGCACCTCCGCATAATCAGGAGAGCTATACTCTGTCTAGAGAGACGAGAGACGTTAAAAATTTCAGACCCTGAAAAAATAAAATAAAATTAAAGAATAAAATAACACAGTCTCTATCCTAACTACCCGGCTGTCAAGCTTCCTTCCTTCCTCAAATATAAATATATCGATCCGGACGGTGGGAGTTGAATTAATTTTCTTCTCCATCATCAAGCGAGGAACCAAAAGCCATACCGCCTTCTCTACCGTCTTCATTCCAATATACAGCAGAACAAGCCAACTCCACGCAAACGCAAAGCAAGCTATCTCTCTCAACATCTAACAGCACTGTTCATCCTCTCTACTCCTTTTACCTTTACTCGCGTTATTTTTTCGTGCTTATTCTGCTCCCCATCACCATGGCCAACAGCCCAAATACCACTAGCCCTGAGGCCGTCAGACGTGCCCTGGAGTCTGCCAGAAACACCGTTGACGGCCAGGTTGACCCACGAGCAAATGCGGTCCTTGAAGCTGCGATCAACGAGGTCTGGAGAAGAATACAAAGCCAGCCAGACTCCTATATCCTCAACCGAGATGAGTTCGCTTTGTTCAACTACTTCCGAGACCGTTTCAGAAACTCTCCTGTCGCCCAGCAAGCTGTTGAGCGTTTCTGGAACAACTTCAGGGGCAACCCATCTGAAATTGACGGCTACGTACAACGCCGTGCATGAAGGGGCCCTTATTTCCTGGCTTCCACAAGCTCTATAAGGCAGCAGGCTGTCGTCCGGGCTTCCATACTACTTCGCGTGGACCAACCAACCAACCCACCGAAATACTCTCATCAGGGATTGAGGAGAAGGGAGAGAGAGAAAGACAGAAAGAGAGGAGGCCTGGAAGTGGAGTACGACAAGAGAGAGAACAACTCCCATTAGACAAAACTGCTCAACGATCGATCAACTTTGCCATGATATGATACCTAATCTCTCCCCCTTTTTTTTCACTACACGCCGCATCAAAAGAAAATGGGGTAACCGGTATACACCACACATTTCCCGGTCTGCCTCTTCCCTCTTTTTCCTTTTGTCTAAGTTTCATCATCATTATTTCCTTTTCTTTTTTCCTTTGCCTTTTGTTTCAATTATCTCTTGTTTCTTTACTTCCTAATATTTCTATTGCCGTCCCTTAATGTCTTATTTTGTCTATTTGCTTGCTTTTCGGATTCTATGTCTGCTTTCATTGCTAGACAATGACTTTAGCGGGATAAGGGGGCAAAAACCAAGGGATGAGGGAGCTTCGGAGCTTATTGGACTGAATTCTTCTATAACTCTGGTTTGATGCTTTTTTTGCTAAAGGGGTCTCTTTGTCTTTTTTTTTACTCTTTTCTTTTCGCACACGCACGTTCTCTCCGGAAGAAAACATGTATCATTAGAATAGAATGCTATTGTTCATACTCCAACGTCCGCTCCAACGCACGAGTACCTTAACAAAGCCAAAAAAAAAGGGGGGGGGGGGAAGGAAAAAAGACTACTGAAGTCCTAGCTGAGCCTCAAAACCCGCCCTGGTTCAGATTTTTTTTTTTCTCCATCTGCTTGCTGTTTTATGGTTATCCATCACCTCGCTCAAGTGATGAGATTTCCTACGAACAACCAGATTAGATGACGACGGGAAGAGTCTCTAAGGCGGCTTGGGCGTTTAGGAAGGCCAGTCTTGTGCGTCGGGCGAGCACGTCGACGGCGGTCTGGGCGTACTCGCGGCGCACAGCGTATCGGACTTCGCCATCAATGAACGGGTAGAGTGGTGAGAGACGCACGCCTCTAAGCGGGAAGCGCATGTCGGTTGGATTTGACAAAGCGGCCACCTCCCACGCTCGATCACCGTAGGATTGAGTAAGGTGTTTAGCTACGTCGGTTGCGAGGCCAAAGTGCTGGATAAGGTTGATAAACAGCGTCTTGGAGTATCCGTGGGCACCCATCAGTCGAACTCTGTGTGTCTGGCAAGTTCCATCCAGCACGGCGTTATCACTGTACGAAAGGACACCGCTAGTGTTGGGAGTCGCGAGAGGTTTTCCTGGCCGAAGGTTGAACTGCTTGATGGCTTCATCAACTGCCTCCTCGGCCATTTGCCGGTAGGTGGTCCATTTACCACCAGCACAGGTTAACAGGCCCGAATTAGAGACTGAGATCAAATGGTTGCGCACGAGAGACTCGGTGTTTTTGGCCTTCGGATCCCGAACCAAGGGTCGAATTCCAGACCACGCAGCCAGGACATCATCACGCTGGACGTTGATGTCGGGTGCCAGATATCCTCGGATCTCACTGAGAATCCAGTTGATGTCTTCTTCAGACGGGATAGGATCCTTGGTGATCTCAGTCGGGCTGTCCGTGGTGCCTGCAATGGTGTTCCCTTGCCAAGGCAGGAAGAAGATAACTCGACCGTCTGAGGTTGAAGGGTCTATCAGCCCCATCTTTGCAGGGCTGTAATACCCTGGAAGGATGATATGTACCCCAGAGCTTGGTGCCACGATCTCATTGATGCTTGGGTCGTCAAGCTTCCTGATGGAATCAGTGAACGGACCTGTAGCATTGATTATGCTTTTGGCCTTGATCGTGAACTCGCCATCCTTCTCCCCATTCCTCTCCGCGATCAAGTCTTTAACTTTGGCGCCGTTTAGCTTCCCATTGGCATCCTTCGTTAACCCTGTCACTTCCATGTGATTGACCACGGTACAGCCGTATAGCGCTGCCGTCATTGCCAATGACACGTTCATACGAGAGTCATTATGCGCGCCATCTATAAAACACAAGTCCTAGTAAGTACTCAAAGCTCTACCACAATCTTAATGAAAAAAGGTCATTGGACCACGAACCATAGTAAACCAAGGCTCCAAAAAGGTTATCTTTTCGAAGCATAGGAAATGCATCCAAAGCCTTACTTCGGGGTAAGAAATATGAGCTTTCAATACCCTCGGAGCCAGCAAGAAAATCGTAGCATTTCGTACCAGCCCAGAAATAGGGCACCTGCCACCATTTCTGCACTGGCACCATGATGGGAAGCCACATGGACAGATGGGGGGCCGTGTGAAGGAAGTACTTTCTCTCCCGCAATGCCTCTTTCACCAGCGAGTACCTTCATCGTTAAAAAAAAGGAAGACAGGGGAAATCCTTTGGTCAGCCATGGAAGGGGATGATAACAAGGCGGGTGAGAACATACTGGTTGTAGTCCATCTCCCAAACCGCCTTCTCCAAGTAGCGGACGCCTCCGTGAACCAGCTTGGTACTCTTGCTACTTGTCCCGGCGCTGAAGTCATCGCGCTCGACCAGAGCAACACGGAGGCCTCGTGTTGCAGCATCGAGAGCAATTCCAGACCCAGTAGCCCCTCCACCGATCACCAGAATATCATACACATTGTCGTCTTCCTTTCCTTCTCCAGAGCTCTCGGAGCTCTCGGCTGAACTCTGCGGTTGTCCCTGCGCTGATTCAACTACGCCCTGTAAAGCTTTTATGGGCAGCGCCGTAGCGGAGTGCCTTCTCAAGTCATTGATCTGCTCATCGCGCGACTTGATGAGGGGAAACTGAGGCGGCTGAAGCTTTCCACCGAGAGTAGTCGGCGGAGGGACGGCGGCAGGATCGGAACCAGGGAGGTTGCGCGGTCGATATGAGATGTAGAGAAGTCCTCCACCACCAACAACAGCTCCCGCTGTATAGAGAAGAGGCTTCAGAACTCGTCGTCTTTGATTGAATGACATGACAGAGCTAATTGAGAGGTATCAAACAGTCAGCATTCGGTTGCCAGATTCCGATATGGGTTGGTTGGTCTCCGCAAGTCCAGGGACACGCCAGATCCCAACGCCCTCACTCACTTTTCCTTTTCCTTTTCTTTCGCAGTTCAGCTTGAAGATTGAGGCCAGCAGCTTTCCTTCCTGAAGCAATTGAGGAAGAGACACAGTGTGCCGCCGAAGTTTTTGCGACGACTGGTCCGTGTGGAGCAGGCGATCACGACACTCACCCGGCCTTGTGTATTCGGTGGACACAGACTGGAGCTGGCCGCGACTTCTGACTCGATAATCTATTTATTTACCTCTGATTATATATACGCAACTTCTGAAACCCAGCCATGCGGTGGCTCTCAGCAAGCTGGGCCACCTTGTCGCCGCATCTACGTCAGTCGCTGTGCGAGCAGCCCGGAAGCTTCACCTGCTCAGCCCTGTGTCGGCCTCTGGGGCAAGCATGTGCGCCGGAAGAGGGAAGTGGCGAGGCTGACAGCCGCCGGCAACGGCAAATCAGTTAATCCGATAGCCGACTTGAAGAGGCGCAAGGCGGAACTCTTCCGCGATAAGCGCCGCTTCGAGAGAGGAACGTGCTCGAGGCAGACACCCATGTTAAGCGCGGGGTTTACATCTATAATTAGAAGTCCAGCTGGTGTTGAGAGACAAAAAAAAAAGTTCATAATCTGTTGAGAAAGAAGAATGATCGGTTGAAAGGAGTTGTTTGCTCTGCTGTTATTCTTCGTCAGACGGCCGCCCCCACCACTGGAGCCGTATCCTCAAGATGGTATTCGCGAAGACGTTCTCAAACTTGGTGGACTACCCACTCGAATCTTTGCTCATTTTGTCATGTGTGCTCTCCACTGTGTATATCCTCAGCAATGAATTCGTGCGGTATATGGCCCGCATTAAGGGTTTTAAGGGTCCGCCGGGCCTTCTCATGATTGGAAACCTCGAGCAAATCCAGGAGAATGCCGCTGAGCAATATCGGCAATGGTCTGCAGAGTACGGCCCCGTATACCAGATCCAGTTGGGCAATATCCCTATCATTGTGGTTAATACAGCAGCCTCTGCAAAGACACTGTTCAGCCAGAATTCTCAAGCATTAAGTTCACGACCTGAGTTTTACACATTTCACAAAGTGAGTTGGCTAGATCACGTTCTTTCGTATAGCTACTGACAAACTGGAGTAGGTGGTGTCAAACACCGCCGGTACAACAATTGGAACTTCTCCTTATAGTGAATCTCTTAAGAGGCGAAGAAAGGGAGCGGCTGCTGCTCTCAACAAGCCATCTGTCCAATCATATGTGGGCCATTTGGATCTCGAAACTAAGGATTTCATTGCTGAACTGCTTAAATATGGACACGCGGGGAATACAGCTATTGACCCCATGGTTATGATCCAGCGACTCAGTCTTAGCCTTGCTCTTACCCTAAACTGGGGTGTACGGATGGCATCGCAAGAGGAGGAGCTTTTCAAGGAAATCACACATGTCGAAGATGAGATTAGTCGATTCAGGAGCACCACTGGAAACTTACAGGATTATATCCCGCTTCTTCGCTTGAATCCCTTCAATTTTGGGTCCAAGAAAGCCGCAGAAATGCGAGATCGCCGTGATAAGTACTTGCAACACTTGAATGCTGGCCTTGAGGAAAGGATGGCCAAGAATGAGCATCAGCCATGCATTCAAGCCAATATTATGCTTGACGAGGACGCGAAATTGAATAAAGAAGAGCTTACTTCAATTAGCTTGACTATGCTTTCTGGAGGATTGGATACCCTGACTACATTAATAGCTTGGAGCATTGCTCTCTTTTCTCAAAGACCCGATATCCAGGATAAGGCTGCAGACGCTATCAAAGAGTTTTATTCTCAAGACCAACCATTATGTGATGCAGTAGATGACCAAAAGTGTGAATATATCGTTGCGTTGGGCAAGGAGTGTCTTAGGTATAGAACAATACTTCACACCTGGTTACATTATGTTGGACACGCAGGGAACGGTCCTAGAAAGGAAACCGAACTGACTGTATGCTATAGGTATTTCACGGTCCTCCGCCTTGCACTCCCGCGAACCTCGATCAAGGACATCACATATGAGGGCAAAGTCATCCCAAAAGGAACCGTCTTTTTCCTCAATGCTTGGGCATGTAACATGGGTCAGTATACTTATTTTATACACTTCCATCCTATATGTGCAGTGTCCTCGTGCTAACTCTTTTATTTTTAAAGACCCCTATATATGGACTGACCCGGAAGTATTTCGCCCCGAGCGCTGGATCGAAAGACCAGAAGCACCACTATTCACATATGGCCTCGGCTATCGTATGTGCGCTGGATCGTTGCTGGCCAACCGCGAGATTTATCTTATCCTAATCCGCATGCTAAACAGCTTCAGAATTACTTCAGTCGAAAAGGTCAACACTCATCCAATCCATGGAAATTCTGATCCAACGAGCTTGGTGGCCATCCCTAATAAATATAAGGTGAAATTTATACCGAAGAACAAAACTGCACTCGATGCGGCCATTTCTAATTTCTCTTCGAAATAATACGATACAAGGATTTTTGTACATATGTGCTTAATCTGCCCTGACAACGATTGTTATATATATATAAAGTATATCACTAGCTTTTTTTTTTTTTTTTTTTTTTTTTTTGGCTATAGTTCCACCCAAGTCACCTCGTACTCTCCGATAGTTCTAACAGGACATTAATATGATCAGCATTATCATTAATCACCCATTTAATAAAGAGGTAAGCAATAATCCATAGTTCTATAACTAGTCTTACCTTCTTGTTGAAGGGCCTCTAGGATGCTTCGTATCTAACACAACTCATAAAGTAGCACATTTCGCCGGATAAAACCCATTTCAACTCTTAATGCTCATATTATTCTGATATGTTCGGTAGACTGAAAAGCAGAACACTTCAGTGGAAAACAAATATAGCAGCCTCGTTATTATAGTCTATCGCTTGATCCCTGGGGCCTGCTGTTCCAGTAATATTCGTACAAGGGGAACTGGAAGGGAGTCTGTAACAATATCCTTCTTGGCACCCTCTTGTTGATTTACATCTGGCGAACTCTCTTGGTTTTTGGCTTGAGGAAGGCCACCTAGCCCAGCTTAGTATGGAAGATAACCACTTTACGAACAGGGTAAACAAGTTGACTTACTCGCTGCCATATTAATGACCTTGAGGACGCTGTCAAAATTTGCCATTATACAAGCAACAGCTAAAAGCAAGGGACGCGGTTAATGCTCCGAAATATATCTATTTTATGAGTGATATGGATTGCTCTTACCTTCGGCTCCATTTTGCAACGTTGCAAGTTTTGCTTCCAACGCCTCTAACTGTTTTGTAAGGGCATGGCTGGTATCACGTAATTGTTGGATATCCTCTAATTCCGCCTGTTTTGCAGCTACCAGGGCAGCTAAACTTGAGGATTGACTTCCAGGACGGGATGATAAAGTACCCGTAACGGAAGAAGGGAATATCGCGGTTGCACGCTTATTGTAAGACATCGGGTTATGGTAGCGACGACAGTTCATACAACCAATAAAACATCACCCTCATATCTGTTGCAAAGCTCATGTAAGGTATGGTTGCTTTCTGGAATCGCGAGTCCTGAAGTATCACCACTTACGGAGTACTTCGAAGTCGTTCTGCGGTGGTTGTTTCGACTATGAAGTATCACGTGTCAAATGTGTAACAATACGGTAATCAGACAAACATTGATTATATAATGGGAGAGAAAAACGGGGACTAACTGTAAATGGATAAACATAAACAGTGTTAAGCCAAGACTTTCTCCTACCTCTGCAAACACGATTGTTGATTTTACTTCCATCACTGAAAGACAGCATCGCAAGAAGAAGAAACTCAACACATCGACCCCTGGAGGCTCTTAATCTCATATGCTAACGACTTCGACCTGAGAGGGATCATATCTATTGCCAAGCTACGACCGCGGGCTCGACTAGTTATGGCTCGATTAAATGACCTACCCACAACGTTGGACTCCATTGAGTCCTGTATGTTTCCCTTAGCTGTCTAGAGAATTCATAAAATCGTAGGAAATCAGCTACTAACAGGATATGCATTAGTAAAGCGGCGCTTCATCCGACAAAACCGCGAGATTGCCCGAGCCAATTCAGTACAGTCCATCCGCATAAGAACACTCGAGGCAGAGATATCGCATCTCCTAGCCGAAAATATCACACTACGAGAAGGAATTATCTCCGCAAATAATGAGCTTCAGCAATACCGGACGGGATCACATCTCGAAAAACGCCTCAACTCCCTGCGAGAGAGATTCGAGTCAGGCTTAGGGGAGTTGACAGCACTCGTTAAGGATCTCAACAAGTTACCATCCCAGAGTTGTGAAAACAATGCGCCTGCTCTGAAAGAAAATCAACCCCAGAAGGAAACGGAAACAAAACGAATTACCCCCAGAAACCTCTTACGACTTTCCGAGGATAACGGCCTGTTTGACGATGGCAACTGCCTGCCCGCAATTCCCGAAGATAAAGCGTATGCCCCAGAAGTCGACGAAGAGCCAGAAGAGGAAGAAATGCCACAGATGGATGATGTCATTGGACAGGTTCAATCTATGGATAATGTTGACGTGGTGGTAAAGGAGCCCGATGCTGATGCTCCCCCGAATGAGCAGGAGGAGCCACCAATGCCATGCCCTACAAATGAAAACTCAGTAGCAGACGTCCTACGAAAAGTTCGACCAGTGAATACCCGACCAAAACGACGAGACAGCTCTTTGGTCGAGACTTTGATATCGAAGAAAGACGTTGATACCGGCAATGATGATGCTGTTTCTGCGACTGCTGGCTCTAAACGGAAATTTGACGCACACGAATCCGAAAACCTTCCGCAGGCTAAGCAACAGAAAGATGACTTTCAATACACTCTGACGAAGAAGAACCCGAATAAACTACCAGGAGACATTGGGATTGGAACTGAAAATGAACCTGGCCTCTTGTCCATGGGCAAGGAAGGCATGAAGAATTCAGCGGAGCCTGTGAAGTCTCGAAAGGCTCTTGAACCTAGTAAGTATATCCTTATTGCTTGTCCGTCTATTTTTTTCGGATTTAATCTGACTCGGGGTGGTAGAAAACGTGAATTTAAACCCAAGGTCAACAGTGAAAAAAGTAGCACATAATAATGTTGCTTCTGAGAAACGAAATTCATCTGGACGGAGAAAAACAGAAGGAGGTCGCAATCCCCGCCGTAAAGCTTCAGATCTGCCGTTGAATGCAAAAGCAAAAGTTATCGTTGACGAGGGTGTGATTCATTTGGATAAACCCATCGAGATCGCCCTTGATGACCAGAGTGAAGATAATGTATCCTCAGAGATACATGTTGACAGAGCAAGCAGCCTGGACAAGCATTTACAATCGGAAGATGAATCCACAAGTGCCATCGGGCAGCAAGCTCAGCGATCAAGACCGTCTAGACGCTCGCGTGGGCCAGTAAACTATGCTGAGCCTAGTCTAAGAGGAAAAATGAGACGTCCCACCGAAGAACTAGTGGACGCAGTAGCAGACTATGCGATTAAGCGACTTTCGAGGTCAAATAACGACCATATCGATGGAGTTGAGGCTGGGTTACCTTCTAAATCCGGTGTCAAGAAAAGTCTGCCCCAAATATATGATCAAGATAGTCTTGAGAAGGATCTCGAAGTGGTTGAGCAGAGCAACTATTTTTCTAGCGACGATGATACAGACACAGATGGAACATGGCCAAATCGTGAGCAAAGGCATAGATCTATGCGAGCACCCACTCCAGACCCAAGCATCAGACCTGTGAGATATTCTCGCAGGAATTCGTCACATCCGAATTATAGACTGGATATGAATCCATTGGCACATGGACCGGTATAACCGTCTGTGGTCAAGTCATTACACATAGGTCTGAAGTTGGTTTTTCAGTGTGATCAAAGCCACAGTATTGCAGTCTAAATCTAATCCATGTATATACGAAGGGCTGCCATGCGATTTTTAATAAATGTGAACTTGAGACCAACACAAGAGCATGTGCTATTACCTACTACCCTTCGTATTCTTGAGTAGAAGATCGTCAAATGCCTGGACAATTAAAATCCATATGTGTATATCTGGGCTTGTTTCCTTTTTCCGAGCTTGAAGGTGGGTGGCCTTCGTTTATCCCAGATTTCCCGCCACCATTCACACAACTATCTCATCTCAATCTGCCGCCGGTCTTCCCTGTCCTGCATCGACACCCATGCCCCTTGAAGGGCGTCAGCTGGAAATATACGATGCCCGACACGGAAGCAGTGATTCATGGGATCCGACGGAACCTTATTTACCGGATGCCAATCTCTTTGTTGGATCCAATGTGACTTTGAGAGCTGCGCACTGCATGCATGGTTTTTTTGTTGAACCCGGAGTTAGAAGCGGTTAATAGGTATGAAATCAGCTCGACATTTCCGTTGCTCGCTTGGCATCTATTTCTTATTTTTTGGGATCCGTTCGTAAGCGTTTGGTCTTGGTTTCCGTTTCTGGTGGTCTGAGCATCCGGATCCCTGGTAATGATATGCACGTTAGCTCGGTCTGGCTCAATAATGGAGTGTTGGTTTTTTGGCATCAGGAAGGGGCATACTTTGTAAGAATGTGCCTTGTCTGATCGGCCACCACCAGCATCATCGTCAGAGTCATCGTCGAGGTCCGAGTCTGACGACTCTGATTCCGAGCTACTTTCGCCTGCGGGTCGTGGCTTATGGTAGATACAACAGACTATCAGTGGTGAGGGTAAGCGGGCTGACCTTGTAGGACTTCGGAAGGACAACTTACCTTTAGAGCTTTTCCTCCCCTGACCTTCGTTATCGACAACGTCCTCTGCCCATTTTATATGCCTCTCTTGTTCTGGCGGTTCACTACTTTGCTCATCTGCCTCTCCCCTTAGTCTTAGAGTACCTGTTAACGGTAGGCCACCCCGCTCTGGAGTAGTGGTTTGAGTGTTTGTAGTTGTTCCTGATGCGTTTTGAGCCGAAGCCCCAATCATGGCTACTATACCGGAGTACCCTTGTAAGGGCCCCAAACAGCAAACAGAATCAAAAGATATAATGCTTTTGCTCTTATAAAGATGAGAAAATTGTTGAAACGCTTGCTGACCATTTAAACGGCTCCAACTGGCATGAATAAAAAAGGAAGACGTCACGAGAGCTTGGCTTCTTATCGCTCTGCTGACTAATTCAGGAAGTCTAAAAAATTGTCCCGCCTGGCTGAATCTGAAAATTGGCTGGGGTAGGATGAAGACGAAGATGAAGAATCTCCAATTGACGAGGAAGAACGACCACAGGAACAGGAAGAAGAGGAAGGGCAGAACTGATCTTGAAGATGTCGTTCTCTAACCTCGTGTCGGACATTGCGTTCAGAGACTCCCAGGGCGATGAGCGTATACCCAAAGGCCCTCGCTCTCATGCTGCTGCCCCGTCTTCATACCAGAGCACAACCACAAGCGTCAGCGTCTCAGGGAGCATTTCCAGCCAGCTTCATGCAGGATACAACCATCCATTAACTAGAGAATGGCAGGCAGAAAGACAATTAACCAAAGTGAGACTCACAAGCTTTCCCCTACCATACACCGTCCTCGCTAACTTTGAGCGCATCTAGGCCATGCTTATGTACCCCCTCTTCATCACGGACAGACCTGACGACCAAATTGCCGTGCCTTCGCTACCAAACCAGTACCAAATTGGCCTGAACAAGCTGATTCCATTCCTTAAGCCGTTGATTAAGAAGGGCCTAAGGTCCGTCATCATCTTCGGCGTACCGTTGGCCCCGGGAGCTAAAGATGCACTGGGAACCATGGCAGATGACCCTTCCGGACCTGTGATACAAGCCATTCGCCTGCTACGCAGTACTTTCCCATCGCTGTACGTTACTGCAGACGTGTGTATGTGCGAGTACACCTCCCACGGCCACTGTGGCATCCTGCGCGAAGACGGATCATTAAACAACACGCTCTCTGTTGAGAGGCTGTCTGATATTGCTGTGGCGTATGCACAAGCTGGAGCACACTGCGTTGCTCCCTCTGATATGAATGACGGACGTGTCAGGGCGATCAAGCTCAAGCTCATTGAAGCAGGTATATCGCATCAAGTAGTTCTCATGTCCTATGCGGCGAAGTTTAGCGGGTGTCTTTACGGGCCCTTCAGGGATGCTGCAGGCTCGTCGCCTTCGTTCGGTGATAGGAAGTGTTATCAGCTCCCGCCGAGTGGTAGAGGACTGGCGAGGAGGGCTATTCAGAGAGATATCAACGAAGGGGCTGATATTATCATGGTAAAGCCCGCGGGAGCCTATTTGGATATCATTAGTGACGCGAAGGAGCTGGGGAGGGATCTTCCTGTTGCCGCGTATCAAGTTAGCGGGGAATATGCAATGATCCATGCGGGTGCGAAGGCCGGCGTATTTGAGCTTAAGGCGATGGTAATGGAGAGTATGCAAGGTATACTCAGGGCTGGTGGGAGTATTGTGACGACGTACTTTGTCCCAGAGCTGCTGGACTGGTTAGAGTCTTAAACCTGACTAATTTCGGGTACCTAATATTGCCAAATTCGGCTTCGGGGATACAGCGTATGAGTAAAAATATCGGATTAATCGCTTTGATGAATAGGATAGCATGGCATTACCAGGAAATATAGATTTCTTCTCAAGCGGAATAAACCGACTACGATACATAAACACATTAAAAGAAGAGACAGACGGAGGGACAAGACAGGAACGCCATTTTCGTCAACGCCATTAAACCAGGGAGTTAAATTGGCAGTAAAGGGCGTAAACGGAAGAAAAATGTATGCTCACCGGAGGCGGAAGCATGGGTGAAAAAAAGAAAAAAAAAAAGATCAAGAGCAAGACAAGGAAGAAACGAAAAGACAGGATAGTATATCTGAACTGAGAGTGTATCGCAACAACGGAGAATGGATAACGGAGATAGATTGATGTTGGTGGAAAAGGAAGACAGCAACGGCCCAGAGAATGCAGATGCCATTTGCCAGATTTTGAATTTGGTAGTCTTTTCTCCTTTCACCCTTTGAGCTTTTTGTAAGCAGTCGTGGCTAGCGTAAAATATGGGGGAGGGAATGAAAAGTTGAGCATCACAGAGGTAGTAAAATATATACGCCAAAACGGGGCTGCGTGAGGGGGTGTCAGGGGCTGTAGCAGTCAAGGACGCCCCATCGGCAGTCAAGAATTAACTGCAGAAGAAATAGGGGAGAAAACTAAATAGATAAAGGTGACTATTATGGAGGATCACGATGAGGCCTGGTGCCTTTAAGGGTAGTTTGGCTTCAATCCCTGGAAACCGTAGGGCAGAATCTGCGAACGGACCACCTCGCCAGGGGCAATGTAGGCGCCACGTCCGAGCGTGACGCCGGGAAGGATAGTGCATCCGGCACCAATCCAGCAGTCTTCAGCAATGACGACAGGACGCCCCTGGTACCTCGACTGGGAGCCCTTGCGTTCCTGCATGCTGCCAATAGCCATTGAGCTGAGGATGGTGACATTGGGGCCGATCCAGGTGTGGGCGCCGATGTTGATGGAGCAGTCGTCGGCGAAGAAGCAGTTTTCGGAGATGAGCACGTCCTCGCCAATGTTGATGTTGTAACCGTAGTGGCAGTTGAAGGGGGACTCGAGCACGGCGCCAGGGCCAAGGGAGCCTGTCGGAGTGCTGGTTGATGGTGGGGGAGCGTCTGGTGATGGTTCAATGGGGGGCGGCTGTAAGATTTGAGTGAGCAGACGGGTCTTTTCTGCGGAACTGATGCCGTAGAGAGGATTACCCGCGTTGGTGAACCTCCAGAGCGCGGACTTGCACTGTTCACGGTCGCGGACGAGTTCGGGGTCGAATGGCCGGTACTGTTCGCCGCTGAGCATCTTTTCCTTTTCCGATTTCTCGGTGGGACCCTCAAAGGGGACATGGGGTTCCATGCTGCTGAGAGCAAGACGGGCCTGGGTGGGGTAGTTACCCGGGTCGACTCTTGGAGGAGCGTGGTTTGGACGCGGCTCCATGTTGGATTGGAAGACGGGAAGACCGGGTTTTTGGTGCGCGTTATTGCCGGAGCCGTTGTTGGCGGGGCTGTTATTATTATTGTTGTTGTTGTTGTTGCTACCACCGGCGTTGTTGGCGTGTGAGTGGTGGTAGTCTGACTTTGGAGGTTCCGGACGCGACATGTCGGCCATGACGGGTCCATCTCTGTATTCCATCTTGGGGGCGGAATCCTGCATCATATGGTGATTGGCCGCCTGCCACGAGCCCTTTTGCCATGCCACGCGAGCGACAGAGCTGTTGGGGCTGGTCATGTAAGCCTGAGCTCGCTCGCTCTCTTCAACCGAGACCGGTCTGGCCTTGCTTCCGTCGGGAAGCATGGGACCGCCCATTCTCGAATCATGACGTTGGGGACTCATATCCTGCATGTACATGTTCGGTGGTTCAGGATAGCGGTCCTTGGACTGAAGCGGGATGGGGCCTTTGGTCTGGGACGGCTTCTGCCAGGTGCTGCGGACCGAGTACCCTTCACAGGGGAACCCACCGCGAATACAATTGTTGCCTGCAGAAAAAAAGGGTCAGAATACGAGTTTTGAGTTATATAGGCCATAATTTAATTAAGAACAAGGGCAACGACCCAAAAAAAAAAATAAAATAAAATAACTGCTAAAAATGTAAAAAATAAAAAAGAATAAGATAAAAAATGAAATTAAATAAAAATACAAATAGTAAAAATGGACCAAAAGTAGGGCAAAACTTACAAGAGGGATGCTGCTCGTCGCACTTTTTCTTTCTTCGCCGGCAAGTCATGCAGCCGGTCTTGGTGCGGTTGCTGAAGACTCTCTTCCGCTTCGGCGCAACTTGGGAGGCACTGGGAGACTGGCTCTGCATGTTGTGAGCCGACGAACCGCCGCCACCTTGCATCTCCATAGTGGAGGCATTTTCAGAAGGAGTCTCGCTCTGGACCTCGCGCTGCAGGGCCTCGGCGAGCTGAGCATCGGAAGCGTCCATGTGCTGCTGCGGCTTGGGGTGTCGTTGCGAGCCGCTCATCTCGTAGTCCCAGGCGACATTGCCGGTGCCTGGTCGGGCCTCGTCTGGGCGTTCAACACTGGTATATGGTTGCTGTTGCTGTTGCTGTTGTTGTTGTTGGTGGTGGTGGTGATGGTGAGGGTGTTCTGAATTTCCATTTGCGGCGGGCGGTGGTTGTGAGTGAGGATGGTCAGCAGGCAACGGACCGGGGCTCCGCACGAGGTCGGCGTGGTGACTGTCTATGCTGGATCGCTTGCGCTTGTTTGACGAAGCGGCAGTGCTAGTACTGTTGTTATTGGCAGCAGCAGCAGCAGAAGAAGAAGAAGAAGCCGAAGCCGAAGCACTGTTTGTATTGCTGGCAGCAGCGGCGGCGACGGCGGCAGTGGTGGTGCTGCCGTTGTCCTGGGCTGAAGCAGCGTCTGCGTGGTCCACGGGCGAGTCACGAGACCCGTCCGCGCTTGCTGGCTTATCCGAGAGAGGCAAGTTGGCGCCGTTGCTGGCGGCAGCGCTGGCAGTGCCGCCGTTGTTCCCGCCGCTGTGCCCACCAACAGAGCCGTTGCTGTTGGCCGCGCCGGCACTGTTGTTGTTGTTGTTGCTGCTGCTGCTGCTGCTGCTGTCGTCGCGAGAGGGAGACGGACGCATGTCGGGCTGCTGTCCGTTCATGAGCGAGGCCGAGCGATCTCTGCCGTTAACCGCGGTGAAGCTGGAGTGACTCTGTTCCGGGCTGGCCTCAGCCGCGATGTCCCGGCTGCCGCTGGGCAGCGGCGCAGGTGCGACGACGGACATGAAGTGGAGGACGCAGAGGGAATCGAGCAGTCCTGGCGATGAAACGAGGAGGACAATACGACGGTCTGTTTGATGGTTCCCTCTGCTGGTTGATGCGACTCGTTCGGGTGGGTGTGGGCGAACAATGCGACGAGGACAGCAGTGAACCACAGAGGGACAAAAAAAAAAAAAAAAGGCGGCAGTCGAAACGCAAGGCCAAAGTAGAAGTAGGCCACGAAGCTTACTCCATGTAGATGCCGAGTACTATGTGTTAGTGAAAGATAGGAAGAGAGAAAGGTAAGGCCGGAGTGGAAGAGTGAGGAGATTTGGCAGCGACGGGAGGGCGGGAGCTGGGAGCGGCGAGAAGTAGGCGAGGGAGGCGAGGGTTTAGACGCGAGGAAGAAGAGAAGAGGGCAGCGAGGAGGGAAAGGGAGGGAAGAAAGGGAAGAAGAGCGAGAATGCAAA